TAGTCAAGATGCTGCTCGACAACGACGCCGACGTCAACGCGCAGGGCGGAGAGTACGGCAACGCACTGCAGGCAGCTTCACTTGAGGGCCACAAGGAGATCGTGAAAGTGCTGCTCAAGAAAGGTGCAGACAACAGCGTGCTAAAAAGATTTGAGTTACCGCCTCCACTCCCAGATTATCGGATGCAATTGATGTTGCTCGAGCAGGAAAATAAGAAGCGATTGCTGATGTCAAGAGCACCGGACAGTCACTCGGAACTTAAAGAGTGAAAACACGACTGCAAGTTTGAAACGACATGAAATCAAGATGCTGCTCGACAACGACGCTGACGTCAACGCGCAAAGTAGACGCTACAGCAACGCATTGCAGGCAGCTTCAGCTGGAGGCTATAAGCAGTTAGTCAATATGTTGGTTGCAGCGGGCACGAATGAACGCCAGCAAAAGGGCCTTGTAATATGGCCTGGGTATCTCTGTCTATGGCGTTTAGGGTTCTGGAATCATGACGCCAGAGGCACTTTTTGAATATTTCAAGTCCGTGTGTTCAAGAGGTATAAGGTAATGGGGAACGAAGTCATGCACGCGGTTTTAGATCTAGGTTATCATCAGCATGCGCCACTTGCACTGTGGAAGGTCCTACAGGGTAGGCATAGCGTTGCATTCATTATAACGAGCTTTGGGCGTGGACGACTATCGACGTGCGTAGCTGAGGTACCTCGTGCAAGGTCACATGTATCCTTAACCTTGTAATAGGCAAGCAAGAGTCTAATGGCTCCTCGCGCAGCAAGAAAAAGAAGAAGACAACCTTTTTTTGTTTTACAGATCTCATGTTGTATGGAAGGCTGTGTTCTTCTCCGCACTACGGAGCTCTCATCATGCTCGCTCCTACGCCAGAGTGATCTCTCGAGCCCTGGGAGATGATATCCATTCATCGCGATCTCTCCACAACCCTCCAAGTGCTTGAGGGTTTTCAAAATCGCCGATGGACAGGGGGTATTGTTGAAGAGTCGATTGATGACATTAACGAAACGATTGACAGTGCGGTCAACACAGTGGCGATTTGCATCGGATGCCGGTTTTCCCAAGGAGCAATGGCTATATGACCATGACAGATAAACGGCAGCTTCACAAACCTGCAAATGGGAAGCGTCGAAAGTCCGAAGTGCGAACTTGTCTGGCGATATAGTGTGTCTCTTCACCCAGGGACGCACCTTACGTCTCCACCACTTCCACTCTTTGTAACCTAAACACGCATACGTTGTGTCGTGCAGAATGGCGTCAGATCATTATCTTCCGGTCTCGGAAGGGTTAACTTAACTACTAGCAACTTGGTGCAACTCGTGATTGTCACCTCAAGGCTATAATCTCAACTCGCCTTTGCTATAGTCGTGATGTCCGCGATCGCGCAAATCAGAACTGTCGTAGTCATTGGGGCTTGACCTTCGGGTCTGTCAGCTGTGAAGGTCTTGGATGAAGAGAAGACATTTGACACGATCCGCGTGTTTGAGTGAAGAGATAGAGTTGGTGGGACCTGGTGCATCAGCCACCATCATTGGCGTTGCTTTGACAAACGCACGTACTGACTGTCTTCGGGCTACACGATGAGACTCCCGACACATTTAACTTAGCCTTGGTCTCACCGCAGCACAATCCAATCCCATTGCAATTACCTACTTTTGAATCTCCCGCGCCAGAAGACACAACATCTGGAATAGGCTTGTATCAATACTTCGACAGCAATGTCGGCGCCGCCGTCATGGAGTTTACCTACGCCGAAGATCAACTCAGCCCTCCCCGTGCGACCCTTCGGCCATACAAACCCCACTCGACCCTGGAAGATCGTCGCAGATTACCTGAAGGATATCTTCGCGAAACACCCTCATCGAGTTTCGTTCAATACCACCGACGAACGTGTGCGAAAGAACCCCGAGACCGGAAAATGGGACATGACCCTCCGCCAGTCAGACGTACGCTTCAAATCAAAGGCCACAACTACTAGTGGACCGAGACCTTCGATGCCGTAGTTGTCGCAACAGGCCACTACAGCGTGCCCTACATCCCCAAGATCCCCGGAATCGAGGAGTGATACAAGTGCTGGCCTGAACGCTTCCAGCATGCAAAGCATTTCCGTAGCCGGGACGCGTATGTTGACAAGTCTGTTGCTGTGGTCGGTGGCAGCGTGTCTGCTAGCGACTTCGTCCTCGACACGTACACGTCTGTCCGCGGCCCTTTGATTGTAGCGCAGTGCGGCGAGAATGCGAATTCGGCGCTTGATAATGTATGGAAGCTTCCTGCTGTGGGCAAGAAGCTCATGTTCTCGCGCTTTACGTTCGACAATGGTGGGACAGTTAAGTCCAGCGATGGGAGTAGGGTGTCCGGTGCTGACGTCGTCGTTGTGTACTTCGCTACGGATTACAGACTCTCATACCCTTTCCTCGAACCCGACCCCGTCACCTCGAGGAACAGGCTGGCGGGCTTCTACCAGCACGCATTCAACATCGCCAACCTCTCCCTCGCTGTCGTAGGCCAGATCCGCGCTGCCCTCTCGTTCCGCACATACGAGTACCAAGCCGTAGTCGTTGCCCGCGCAATCGTTGGTCGCGGCACGCTACCTGCCACAGCCGAGCAAAAAAAAAAGTGGGAAGAAGACAGAGTCAAGCGATTGGGTCCGACACATATCTCCTACACCATCGTGCCGGACTTTGAAGAGTACTTCAATACGCTGAGAGCGATTGCGGGACCGCCGGCTGAGAGGTCGGAAGCGTATGAATTGCCGAAGTGGGAGGATGAGTGAGCGAAGAAGGGGTGTAGGGTGTTGGTGTTGAAGGATGAGTATGTGAAGAGGATACAGGAGAAGGAGAGGTTGCTTGCGAAGCTGTAGGAGTCCCTCACACACCAATGAATGCCGCCAACACGACTAGCGCAGCACCTCGCAACCGCTGATACGTCTGAAGACCTCCAAAATTCGGTTTCCATGTTCAATTTATCCGCGGGTTTCTCGAGGGTACGAAAAGGAGTTACACCTTCGACCACCGACACCGATCCTGAAATTGTTACTGCTATCGCTGTCGTTGCCCATAAATGCTCCAATGTCTCGGTATCGCATCTTTGTGATATTGGTATTGCTGACATATGGGGAAAGGTGACTCGTGGTAGAACGCCTGACGAAAAGATTTCCTCTTTCCTCTCTTACGTAAGATGGACTTCGCAATCAAGAAGATGGGCTCTAATCAACCCGTTGCTCTGGCTCCCTTCCATCGCACAGCCGTATACGCTTTGAGCTGAAGGTGGGGATCTGGCCTGGTATCGTGGCTGGCTGATCGAAAGCCTGGGGTGTCGGCGTCTTGAGTACCTGATGCTGATGTCTGTCTAGTCCGCGCATAACCTCGACATTCATGAGGGCTTCAGCCAACACAAGACGAGAGCTCGTATCGTTGCAGAGTGAGTTCAGGTACAACCGAGGCAGTTGCACTTGCTAAAAAGTACGATTACTCCTTCCGTCGTAACATTTGCCTAATCCGTGAAGGGTCCAACTCTAGCGCGCGGAGCTCCACAGCTGAGCCTCCGGTCCCGCTCTAATACCCAATAAACCTCCACTATGACATACCTCACACCAAGACTTACTCGATTGTTACGGTCTTGGTGTTTTGCCAACAACCCCGCATCATCCGATGACCATGGTTGTAAGGAGTAGCTGCACCGCTGACATCTTACACACCGCTGTGAACAGCTGTCAACTCGCAACACCAACCAAAGCTGATCTTACACCCCATTGAAGAACACACCTGACCTGGACTGAAAACCGAGTACCCGACCGCGCTTATATAGCCTACAATTGCCCATACTGCAGGGTACAAAGCATCTACAGATCAACGACAGGACAACATGGACGTCTTTCAGAAGAAGACACTGAATACCTCGCGAGGGTACACATACACCTACTATGTAGCTGACGGCGACAAGTCACTACCAACACTCATCTTCCAACATGGCTGGCCCGACCATGCTGCAATATGGAAGGATGTCGCAACAGGCCTGCGCTCTACGAATCATCCCATGATCATCCCCGATCTCCTCGGATACGATGGTACAGACAAGCCAACTAATCCTGCCGAGTATGCATTCGACAAGATGACCAAGGACGTTATCGAGATCGCAGACGCTGAAGATGCACCAAAGGTGGTTTCCATTGGCCACGACTGGGGCTCCGGTCTTGCTTCACGCCTCTACAACCACTATCCTGATCGAGTCATCGGTCTGATCAACCTCAATGTGGCCTACATGCCTCCCACTGGCGACCACTTCGATCTCGACAAGTTCAACGCTGTCATCAAAGAGCACATGGGCGCAGCACTGTTCTCTTACTGGGGCGTGTTCGCGGCTGAAGATGGTCCCAAGCTCCTCTACGACAACCTTGAGCGCACATTTCGCGCCCAGCACGGCCAGGGCAAAACCATGGCCGAGCTCTTCACCGTCGAGGGCGCTATGAGGAACTATCTCATCAACGGTGGCCACGAGTACGAATTGCGCACATATGCTCAAGACCCAGCGTTCAAAAAGACATTCATTGACCGCATGACCCGGGACCGTTTCGATGGACCGCAGTGCTGGTACCGTGCTATGGTACAGAACGTTCAGTCAGCGAGCGACAAGGAGCTACCCACCGACAGGAAGGTAGTCAAGGTGCCTGCGCTGTACATTGGATGCCACGATGATCCTGTTTGTCGACCGGAGACTATGGCGCCGTACAAAGCGCAGCTACTGCCACACTTAGAGGAGGCGGAGATGATTGATGCGGCGCATTGGGTGTTGTATGAGGCGCCGGACGAGGTTGTGAAGAGGATTGAGCCATGGTTGAAGAAAACCTTCGGGAAGCAGTAAGGCGCTTGTAGAACGATAAGATATTCGTCGCGCACGAAGGCTCGTGTAGTTACGGACGAAAAACAGAGTTTCACATGGTATCCTAGGCACTGCCTAAGGGCACGTGCACTTACCTCTGAGCTGAGAGTTCCTGAACAAGAACATTATCGAACAACAACACAGATAGCAATACAAACGTTGATCACGGCCTCCAATCAACACTGCTCACGCAGTTACATCACATGTATCAAAGACCATTGCAGCGGACAAGTCTGATGGGTGACGATGCAAGTCCGTACTCAAACATCGGCTTTAGACAGAGTCTCCGGGTCAACGGCCGAGTCTGACATGCAGCATGGCTACACTTACGAGCTTGGCGACACTCACAATGCTTCTGAGCGTCGTCAATGGATGAGGCAGTGCACGAAACACTGATGATCAAGATAAACCACCAAGGCTAGGAAAGCTATAAGATGCAACGCATCTACTACGACAGAATCGACGCAACATCCACAAGAACATCATTGCATCATAGAAGCAGCAACAACACCATTCCTTGCCTCTCATAATGTACAAAATCACACCGGTCTTCTTTGTTCTCCTCTCATTAGTCACTACAACCCTATCACGTCCCAGTAAGAGTTCATCATGGAACCCACTCGCCTCCCTCCCCATCCCACGACAAGAACACACCACCGTCTACCTCCCACCCTCCACCATCGCCGTCCTCGGCGGCATTATCCCCACAAACGACACCAGCACATTACCAATCGCCACAACCTCTCTCGTCGAATTCTACTCTATTCCAAACAACACTTGGAGCACCTCCGTGCCTCTACCACGTGCAATGAACCACATCAATGCCGCCGTCGTAAACAGGTCGATCTACATCCTTGGCGGCCTCGCAGATCTAGGTGAGATGCAGCCAGCGTGGCGCGCGGTGCCGGACTCTTTCATCTATTCACCCGGCAGCGGCGCATGGACGAGTATTCCAGGCCTGCCGGTGGGAGAGGCGAGGGGTAGTGCGGCGGTGGGTGTGCACGATGGCAAGATCGTGCTTGCGGGCGGAATGAGTGATCTTGAGCTCTCTGGCAACGCAACCCAAAGTACCGTTTCCGTGGTCAGTATCTTTGATACGGAGAGGAGGGAGTGGGTGAAGTTGCCGAGTAAAGCAAGATATTTGCCTGAGGGAAGAGATCACGCAGGCGCTGCTGTTGTGGGCGGGAAGATGTTTGTCCTCGGCGGCCGGACCCAGGGGCAAGAGAATGTCAAGGACACTGTTTTTATTCTCGATCTGTGCAACCTCAACGCTGGTTGGTCAGTCAGCAAGGCAAGGATGCCCACGCCGAGGGGTGGTGTTGCGGCGGGCGTTGTAGGGGGGAAGGTGTACGTGTTTGGCGGCGAGGGGAATCGGGGTACGGAGAGTGGTGTGTTTGACCAGGTGGAAGTGTATGATAAGGTGAGGGATAGGTGGGAGAGTAAAGGAAGTATGAGGGTCCCAAGACATGGAACGTATGCTGTGGGTGTGGGGAGGAGGGTGTATGTGCCTGGGGGTGGGACGAGGCAGAGTGGTGCGCCTGTTGCTGACTTTGATGTGTTTGAGGCTTGAGTTAATGCCTGGAGATAACGAGGCCAGACTAGGAACGTCAGTGGGCCAGCAATAAATGTTGGAGCGAACCCTGTAATTTTAACATCGCTTTCATCTGTAGCTAGAGTACTGCCTTCGCATCCGACAGTCACTGCAACCTCTCCTTCCCCTCCCTGATAGCCTGTCCATAATCCCCCGCATTCGGCGTCCTCAAAATCGTATGCGTATGAAACTTCGCAGGCTCCTTATTCGCCAAAAATACCCCCGAATGATGGTCAAACTCAACCAGAATCACCGGACTCTGGATGCGGAAATAGTATGCATCATCATCGCCATAACCGCCAATCCAGCAAAAGTACGTCTCGTTGAAGTGCTGCTTGACTTGCTCAAGCCTGAGTGCCCGGGACTTGGTGGGGTGGTACAACAGGAATTCGTTGCAAGTGTCGAGAATGAGTTGCTGTTGCGAGGATGTGAGGTCCGAGGCGAGAACGCCTTCGTAAGGGACGATGCGATTGTCACGGAATGCGCCGCAGCGGTGGCGTTGGTCGTCGGGACCCCATGTGTCGGTGATGAGCTCGTCGCGCTGTGATTCATCATTGTTAGAGTTGCCATAGACCTGTTTCATGCCTGGATCTCGTAGGCTCTTGAAGACTTGGGCGGTGTTCTGTTGTTCGGGTTTCAGGCTTTGCATGAGTTTCAGGCCGAGTTTGCCTTCTTTGTGAAGGATCTCGGTGCCCTTCCACTCGCCGTCGTCGATGATGTTGGGTTCTGCGCCGGTGAATGAGGGGCTCAAGATGATCTGGTTGCCCTTGAAGAAGCATGCGATGTCGAGGTGGTGGCCATAGAGCAGCCAGCCCCATGGTGATGATGGTGATGATGAAGGTGTGCCGAAAATGAGGAAGTTGTATGAGTATTTGTTCATGATGTTGGGAAGCTTGACGACCTCGCCAAGGAAATGGTTGATACGCATTGCGGAAAGAGCTTTGTGGTACCCTTCTGGCGATAGCGAGGCTTCCACTACCTTCAGTATGGACTGTGTGATTGACTCAGGGACTGTATCCAGTTAGCGTCCAGTTCCTTGAAATATATTGGGAATATGTTCTCACCCTCCTCAAGTCGGATTCCAAAAGGCCGTAGCAAGAACTCAGGGTTGCTCCATGCTCTCCACTCCCTCGCATTCATCGGGTATGATAGCTTCTTCTTCTGCTCCTCACTCAATTCACCAAACAATCCCTCGATTTTCTTTACAACGTTTTCTGTGTCGAAGCCTTCATCTCTTGCCTCGAACAAGCCTTCTCTTATCTTTCCATCATTAGTCACGCCTTTGTATGGCTCGGCGAGCAGCTTTTCCCAGACTTTGGTCAGATCGTACAACCACGGTGGTCTACGGTTGTCTTGCATGTCTTTTGCATATTCGTAGACAGTCTGCTTAGCAGCTGTTGTAAAACGAGGTGTGCTCAGATCATGGAGATGTTGTCGGAAAGCAACAGATGCCTCATCGAATGAGTTTCTTCTCGCCATATTTGATGGCTGATGATAGCTATAGGAGCGTCGAACTGATGATGCCTCTGGCTTGGAAGAAGTTGGAAAGCGCAGTCGATAGGCCGTGTAGTAGCCGCAATCCACAAGCTGGTGCCTTCCTTTACGTCCCAGATGAAATAGTACGGCGTCGAATCTGATCCCGAGTCTGCTGATCGTGATGTTCTTCGATACTCCAGATGAATCGCGTGTTCGATGTTGCGGCTGAGCACGGCCGGATGAAAGCTTTTCCCCGTTCAATGACCGCGGTATGTGGCGTGACCCCACTTGTTCACTCGATCTTAAAGAGTATTAATTGGTGACTTCTTCCTCAGGAACTGCTGCGCGAAACGACCTTCCTTCAGTATAAGAGTGGTGACGGTCGACGCGTCTTAAGGTACCCCACAAACAGCTTCATTTGTTAGCGCGGGGCATTCTGGACCCCGCAGGATCGACTTCGGCTGGATCACGGCCGCAGAAGTACTTCCGTACAACTAACATCTCGAGATATTTGTACAAACATTGGCACACCAAACACACGATACAGATGTCGAATGAGCAGATTAACATGTCACCCGTTGATCGTTGTACGATACAGTCGACCGAGCCACTTTACGCCTTGATAAAGATTGAATAATGGTGATCTTCCACACTCAAATGGGTCCAAATATGTGTGCAAATACAGTTGCATGTAATTTATGAATATCTATGGGCCGGCTTGTCACGAGGTACTCGGACATACTGTCTAGTACAAACCCGTTGCGCTCCCAATTCGCAGCATCATCCACATCCCCTTCGCCAGTGTACTTGGCCTGCTTGAGGTAAATGCAGATGGGCCTCTGTCGCAGCACCTCATCATACATCGCATCGTTAACACACTTTGTGCCCATGATGTACCCGGGCACCCTGACCTCCTCAACCCAAGCCATCATTGCTTTGAGCACGTCATGTTCATCATCCTCGAAACCAGGGACACTGTAGACATCATCTGCAAGAGCAGCCTGTTGGTTGCCACCGGCAAAGTACCACGGAGCGGTCATGCTGGCCTGTGTGTCAGAGCAGTGCCTCATGCCAGGTACAAGGAAGTACTTGGAGAACTCGTCAACGTAGACGCCTTGCAGCTTCAAGGCTCGAGTGAGATGGTCGTAGAAGTAAGGAGTCGAGCAGGTGGGGATGAGCGGATCGGCCGTACCATGGTATGAAAGGATCTTGCTACCTTGGCGTGGAAACGGGACAGGTCAAATCCTACAGTTACGTTTTCCGGATTGATGGCATCTGACAGAGTGATAATCTCGTCGTTGTAGTCGGTGAAGTTCCAGCCAGGTTCCTTACCGAGAAAGTATTGTACATATTGCGTGCCGAGCGAGTTGGGTGCGTTGCTGGAAAAGAACACAGGCTGACCTTCGCTGCCGAGCCAGAAGGATGGGAAGGTGAAGGTGTTGCCGCCAACGTAATCGCTGAAGATATTATTGAAAGTATCGAGCTGCAGTCCTGTGAAGCAAGATGTGATATTGGCGGTACTGTTGGACCCACAGAGGAGTGCTGTGGGCTGGAAGTTGCATCCGAAAGGGCACGAGATGATGTTGTCAACAACACCATCTTGAGGATCGCACTGCTTCATGATCTCTACGTTCAATGCCGAAAACAGTACAGCTGGAATGTGGTAATCTGCGGTAGTGGAGAGGTTTTACAGTGCAATGCGCACAGTCCACGGCTGAAGGTGGTTTGCCCACCATGCAGGAGCACCAGCGACGATACCACCGAAGTCCTCGGGGTAGAACTTTGCCTCCTTCAGACCTTGACAACCGCCAGTAGAGCATCCGAAGTAGTAGCTCTGTGTCGCGTTCAGCTTGTAGTACGCTGCAGTGATCTCCTTTCTAACGACGGACCCGTGCATGGCTAGGTGGCCCCAGTTCTCAACACGACTAGGCTGGCTGTACGCCCAGGTGCTGTTGCCGGTAGTAGGAGTTGTGTCCGGTGTCAGTCGAGATGGTAGCAAAGTCGTAACGCACACCGGCAGCCTGAAGTTCGTTAGTTGTTATTGAGCCTGGAGACCTTCAACAATACCTACCATGTCAACGTAGCTGATGCCTCCTCCAAAGCCACCGTTTCCGACAGCCAGGAACCTGCCATTCCATTCTTCGGGAAGAAAGATGCCAAATCCGAACGTAGTGTTGCCGACTGACTTGACCTGGATAGACGCAGCGCACAAAGCTGGCAGATTGGGTGGGCTATTAGGGTAGGCAGTATCACTCTTGGGCACCTCGAATGTTGCAATCACTGTGACGGGATATGCGAAATTGACACTGGCACCCTCAGACAATGCAGCTTGGATCGCGCTCGGCGTACATGTGTAGTTTAGCGCCTGTACAGCTCCAACGAGCGCAGCGCTACTGAGCAATGTTTGCCTTATCTTGCTGAACTGAACACACTTGCAAAGACAACGACTGATATGAGAGAGATGGGGAAACGAAGATTCCTGATCTGCAAAACATCTTCCCTCACATGCTTTAACATCGTGAGGCCTGAAGACCCTTGGTGCAGCTGGTTACACCGGAGTGGGAGGGCAAAAGCCCCAACCATCCCTTGTGTACTTTCATGGAACTCAACCTCTTGTAACTAAACCCTTGCATTACCAGAGGAGCTACTGCACCTCTCGTCCTCTATAGTCTCAGACTCACATAGGACGTTAAACCAATCAATCAATTAGTCACCAAAGCGGAGGATCGATAGGTTCACAGTCGTCTTGGGCCTGCAACTGGCTGACCTTCATTCGCAGCTCCTTTTTGCGGCATGGAATTTGCTGGTCCACGGTCCACCCTGTGGAGCAAATTCATCTTTCCCCTACATGACGTACAGGAACCTGGTTGTACGAAGCTTGACTCGCGCCGTGCCGCTGTCAAAACAGAGTGCCTAGCGGCTTCATCCGCTCGTGTTGATGGGGTACGCGTGTTCATATAACTGCTAAAGGTCGCACTGAACACGATGATGATGATCTTGACGAAGACGACATCGCCGCAGGTGATGGCCGATGGGTGAGTGAGATGAATGCAGGAACGGCAGGGCGTATTACCAGCAATTCCCCGTTAGTGGCAAAAACGAGCCAATAGCATCCTCGCCCGGGCCACCTCTCTTGAACTTCAGGTCCTCCGAGGTCGGTGCCCATAGTCACGAGAAGGTCACGTTTCAGCTCAGCGACCTTACCCAATCAAAGGTTGCTTACGTCTTCAACCGCGGAACTGGAAGCGGTTAAGCATTCTTCCAGACCTCGGTGGTAGATTGACCACCGGAGGAAAAGAGCTTCAAGGAACCTGGAGTAATTGTGGATGCCTATGAAGTCGTCGTAGAGATATAGAAGTCATTGAATGCCTGTTCTGAGTCAAATTGAACATATCAACAATTTTCAAGCGCTCCACAACTGTAACGACCCGCCTTAAGCTTCAACCTTCCCCGCCAAAGCTTGGAACGAAGCTCCGAATATCAACACCAAACCCACCAGACAATAGTAGGGCCAAATGGCAGAGAATCTGAGGATAGCAATCATTGGCGCAGGCATGGGCGGCCTTGCCACAGCCCTCTCCCTTGCAAAAGCCGGCCACAAGAACATTACAGTCTACGAGCACGCCTCAACCCTCGGCTTCGTAGGCGCAGGCATTCAGCTGGCACCCAACATGGCCACCATCCTCGACAACTTGGGTGTCTGGAAACAAATCGCCGCCGAAGCCGTCCAATGCGCAAACACATCCATCCGCGAAGGCGCCTCTGACAAAGAACTCGGCTACGTCGACCTAGGCTATGTCAAGGAGAAGTACGGATACCCACACATGGTCGGCCACCGCGCATCGCTCGCAGGCGGACTATACGAAGGCTGCCAGAAAGAGAGCGGTGTTACATTCAAGTTCAGCAACACCATCACAGACGCCCGTTTCGGCGCAAAACCCACTTTCAAGGTCACAAACAACAAAACCGGCGAGACAGAGTCCGTAGAATGCGACATCCTGCTCGGCTGCGACGGCGTCAAGAGCAACACACGCGTCGCCATGTTGAAAGAGCTCGGCGAGACAGCGACGGTCAAGGACTCAGGCCAGGCAGCGTACCGTATCATGCTGACGCGCGAGCAAATGTCGCCCTACCCCGAGCTTCTCAAGCTCATTGACAGCGACACGGTGACGCGCTGGATTGGCGAGAAGAAACACATCATCGCCTACTCGATTCACAAGAAGCAAATTTACAACCTGTCCACTGCACAGCCAGACGTTAACTTTGCTGGTGCGCCGGATGCGCAGTACACGACGAAGGGTAGCAAGAGCGCGATGTTGGATGTATACAAGGATTTCTGCCCGATGATTCAGGACATGCTGAATCTGGTACCAGAGGGCGAGGTTGTGGAGTGGAAGTTGAGAGTCCACGATCCGCTCCCGACGTGGGTTAGTGGTAGTATGGCGCTGGTAGGTGATGCGTGCCATCCTACGCTGCCGCACATGGCGCAAGGTGCGGCGCAGGCGATTGAAGACGGTGCTGTGCTTGGTGTTGTGCTTGCACCCTCAAGGCTTGGGGAAGCAAGCCCAGAGACCATCAACAAGGCGCTGAAGTTGTATGAGAAGCTGAGGAAGCCAAGGGCAGAGGCACTTGTCGAGCTCGCTGCCGAGAGCGGGCGGAACATGCATCTTGGTGCTGGTAAAGCGAAGGAGGAGCGAGACAAGCAGTTTGCCGCACTCAAGTTGGGGGGTGGCAAGGTTCCCGACAAGTGGGCGGATGCAGATGTCCAGGCCATGGTCTACGGGACTAATGTGGTCAAGCAGGCTGAAGTGCTGTGTCAGGAGGAAGGCCTAGTGGCGAAGCTATAAGCGATCTGTTGACAGAGGGTTGGAGTTGTATATATCATATTCTGCACATTACGAAGCGATTCCATTGAGTTTCAAATATGTCATTGCATGGTTGTGTTGGAACTGAGTCCGGTCATGGATTACAAGCAGGTATAAGTTTTGCTGTGTAAGTCGGTCGTTGCTTAAATCTACAATCTGTTGCTCATGTTGCCGTGGAGCGCCTTCCCCTTCCAGTGGCAGAAGGCGACAGGAATCAGGGAACCCACGACCAACATCGCAACCACGACACCAGCACTAGGCGCTAGCCCTACGTTGGTGAACATGTCAGGGAACCAGAAAGGTCCGATGAAACCCCATGTCTGCCTCACAAGCGTGATGAACACACCGATACTGCCCGCCTCGTCAGGGTAGCAATCAATGGCGTATGTGATCAGCACCGTGGTTACGATCTGGTTGCCTGCCGCAGCGATACTGGCACCGATGATAGGCGTGACGTTCCAGTGGCCCTCAGGAGCCTGTTCAACGCGGATCAGGAAGACTACCAGACCGCAGATCGCGAGCAAGATGCCAAAGTAGCTCAGCCACAATCTGAACTCGGGTGCAGGCTTCCTCGGAGCAGTCTTCCTCGCACGAGCACGCATCCACATGTCACTCGAGTGACCACCAATCTGTTCACCGATGATGGAGCCGACGATGAGGCCGAGGAACTGGAGGCCAAGCTGCTTGGAGTTGAAATGGAATTTCTCCCCAAACAGCTGTGGGATCTCGACGGTTGTAAGGACAGAGGCAAAGAGAAAGACCATTGCGTAGGCGCAGGCAGGGATCATGACGCAAGGGTACTTGGCCAGTCGCAGAGGCGAAATGAATTCCATAGCGGTGATAGGTGTGGGGTCGATACGGCGAAACTTGAGGTATGACTCCTTGAAAGCTGCAAAGCCAGACACGGCATGCTCGGCGTTGTCATGACGGATGAAGCGTGTCTCAGGACCGAAGAGAGAGTAGAGGACTAGTTGGACACCGTTGATCTACGGTGTAATGTTAGCATACTGGTCTTCAACATAAGACATAGAACACTCACAATTGCCAGAATCCAGTAAATCCATCGGTAGCCCTCATAGTATGTGACGAATCCGAAAATGAACGGTGCAAGTGGTATGCCGAGCGTGATCATGACAGTCCACACACCCATGTACCTCGCTCTCTCTTTCTTGAAGAAAGTCTCGACAACAACTGCACTACCAATAGCGTTCGGTGGCGAGATGAAGAAGGCCTGAAGAGCACGGCAAGCAGCCATGGATGCATAAGTAGTACTCTTTGCACAGCCGATGTTGAATGCCAGACTGCCAATCAGGGATATGATGAAGATGGGTCTACGACCATAGCGCGTGGAGAGCGGTCTCCAAAACAACGGTGCACCTCCAAGAATGGCGATTTGTAGTGATGTCAGGTACGATGTTTTCTGCAAGCTAACACCAAGGTCTTCTGCAATGTTCTCGTATGCTGGGATAATGGCTGAGGCTGCAAATGCACCCATGCACGCATGGATTGCCACGAAGATGAGATTTAGGACTTTCTGTGCGGTCACGTTAGCACCCAGTGACAACCTCTTATTTTTTGGAGCCCTACCTTCCAGGTTGGCCAGTTGTATGGGTCTGCATCACCCATGGTAGGCATGGGATCGAGTTCCAGCGTGCCATGTCTCTGAAGCAGATACTGACGGTGCTCTTCTGAGAGATGAGAGGCCTCAACAGGGTCGAGATAGGTTCCATGAGTGTTGGCGTGCTCGAGGTCCTCGTTGTGTTGAGTGGCGTCAGAGACGAACTCCTTGTCGTTCGAGATGCGTTCAGTTGCAGTGGCCATGATCGTCCAATGCCTGGCACGAGGTGCGAATGGCAGGAGAGGATGGTTCGATGAAGATCGAAGTGACAGCACCGCCGCCCTCTTGTACCGATTTTCTGGAGTCCACGGGGTAACAGAGTGGCCGTGGAGTCCCCAGATGGTGATAGCGCGGCCCATGGGGTTTGGGACAGGGATAGTTGTGGGTTTTCGTCACGATGGCATCGCTAGGCTTTGCAATCTCGCCAACCAACCCAGACAAAGATAACGGCAGCCACGTACGGTAGTGGTCGCTGGGCCATGCTTATTTGTTGGATCCACGTTGCTTTACAGGCGGACTCCTGAGTGGGTCGCGGGAGACTGGCAATAAGATTCGGCACTTGACCGTTGACACAGTGGCTATCGTTTCTGTTGTGATTGATCAGCAGAGTATATGAACTCCACAGGTCGCGGAAATGCACAACAACAGCTTCAGAACACGTTGAACGTTGTGGCGGCCGTAAACGCCTTTCCGCACACCAAGCTTTTCGGTGAAGCTTGGGTTTGCGGCTCTGACCTCATCCGCGAACGCCAGGGTCACTTGCTCGGCGCAACTCAGCCGACGCGTCGGTTTCATTCAGTCGGCAACAATTTTGAAGCCGTGTCTTCTTTGTCCAAGTGATCTCCATATTTCGCATTGGTCAGAATGCGTACGCCACAGATTTCACGCGCGTCGAGACCACGGGGCTTGCCGGCGGGGGCGAATGTGCGCGTGGATGGCTTACTCGAATAAGTACAGCCAAAGAGATGTTCGAAAGACACTGGAAGTTCGGGTTCCGAGAGCAGGAGTTGCAGGCAGATGCTCGATGGTTCGTGCTAGACATTGCTAGGGTAGATGTTGTTCATTCCCGCGAGATGGTCGACGCAGGCCAGCACTTCCATGGGTGCAGGATGGCCTTGCTGATACGAAATCGGTCGTAGATGTCGCGAAGAAAAAAGTGGAATTGAACACCTTCAGCAGGAAGTGGAGCTTGTTCGATGTACGAAGTTGTACATGTGAAGAAGGACAGGGCGGGCAGGTGCGAGGGAACGATGCTGACATAGCTAGCGTCTCGCGCTCACGACGCGCTAACACTTATATCCACCACAACCATCGCAAAGGCTAACGATGAATATATCCCTGAGAGGTAAAATGACCCTCCATTATTGCCATCGAGTATACTATGTGTAGACCATGTCAATTGCCGCAGCTAGAGACCTTTGTCGTCCCTGAGGATCCCTCGCCACTCTCAAGCAGTGCGATAGCGAACAACTCGTTGGTTCTGTGACGATCGCGCGTAATCCCATCTTTGTCCCATAAATTACTTCCATACGCCGAGTCTTGAAAATCTTGAGCTAGATCGTCGACCGCAGTCTTGCATGTCGAACAGAACAGCGTCGAAATCATTTGCAAATGGTTCACTCAAATAGGGAGGGGCATTGTAGGGCGCAAGAGCGTCCAAGAGGTGCGCTGTGCTCGGATCTGCAGTAGGCTGGTAAGCATCGTGACCGATGCCAATGTCGTTCCGGCTTATGGCTTGAGCAATTTGCTCATCAAGAGCGCGGACCACCGGTGGTGTGTTGTGGTTTAAAGGTTCCGCCCCTTCGAATCGCGAATAAGTGTACAGTTGGAACAGTCGGAGCTGTTGTTTGCGCACTATTTCGATCGTTGAGCTTATGATCCTCTCCACGTAGGGAAAGTCGCGCTCGATCAGCGTTTCGAGCTCCATGCGGACGGCGCCAGGGAGTCGTTCACGTAGGAATGCTTCATATCGGGCTAGTTCGTCATTGTTGCTTCCTAGTCGAAAGCCTTGCTCCCAGTTGGAATCAACATCTGGAAATGTGTCAGCCTCCGCTGTGTTTCACAACACCATAGAGTAGAGATCGTGAGTACTTACATGGCGATGGTATCATGTCCTCACTGTCATTCGGGAATAAGATCTGGTACATCTCCTTCCACTTCTGTTCTTCTGTAGGTTCGGGCGTACGCCTTTTCCTGCTGCGTAGAGCCGTTTCTTGACTTTTGTCCAGGCCTTTTGGTGGATGAACTGTTGACTTCTCGCAAGGCACATCCGCTCTCTGATGTGCATAGAGATCTGCTTCCGATTGAAACTCGGTGCAGCAACGCGAGCAGTGTATGTTTTGACGATGATGTCGAAAACAGTGCTCCCTGTTTACAATAAACCAGATATCGTACAAGCCACTGTTCCTGTATGCATTTACTTCACGCGACGCACTTTTCCCCACCCCGGACCGACACACGATCGTCGCCCACGATGTTGCTCAGGACTTTTCTGAAAGTATGGGCAGGCAAACCTTTTTGGCATACGCTCTTCGCTAATGTTGGGCTTCGGCCTGCTACGTTTCCTCGGCGCTTCTTCGTTTTCGCTAGGAGCTTCATCTCCATCATTCGATTGCTTTCGTCGCTTCCCCCTTTGTTTCGCGAACTAGCTTTGAGTAACTCCCTCTTTTCCCATTGCTGAAGAGCTTGACTGCCTTGACCCTTGAGAAGAGGTCTCCTGGTCGGATGGCGGCGGCGAAGAGCTATCGGCAGTGTTCATACTGGATCCCGACATGGATGACCATACCTCGGAGTCTTCGTTGTCGCTCGAATCCTCTTCGTTGCTTGAGGTTTCGCTTTCGCTCGAACTTTCGCTCAACGCCTCCGTACACAGCATGGTGTTGAAGTGTGTCAACAGTCTGTTCAGGAGCGTTGCTTTATCCTTTCTGAGCCTCTTTTCGTCTATCTCCTGAGCTGGATACACCGCGCTCCCGCTCTGTAGTACGACAATGTGAGAAGGTATAACATGATAGGCTCCGGATTCTGTGCGCCCCCCTTGTTTCTGCCGTTCGAGAGAAGTGCCGAGCGAGATCTGGTCGCTTTCCTGCGACTAAGGTAGATAGCTGTCCCCTGGGGATTGCCATTGGATGAGCGACGGACTGAAGGAAGATTCATATCCATAATCAGCTGCTCGAGATAAAGCCTCGGTTTGGTCTTGCGTGCCTAGGTACGGCGCTGCCATGCCTGAGATGTCGAAGCTGCCCAAAGGTCGAGGTGGGAGGGGGACAACTAGCGACTGAGGCGCTTGGTGCAGTACATTCTGGTACGGTGGATTTCGTACACCAGGAAGCATCGAAGTATGATATTGTATGGTGTTTACGACACCAGGATGATTAGGCCAGTCTCCAATGGGCGGCTTGAAAAGAACTCTTTGATGGTAGCCCTCACATTGCCTCTTCGATTTGACGCAGTTTGTGCAGGTCGGTCTTTCTTCTCCACATTTGATTCTTCTCTTACGGCACGTCAAACATCCCGTCTTAGTTCGCTTGCGCATTTTTATAGCCGATCTTTGCAACGAAGTTGTCGTTGCCAATGATTGATGTTGATCGTGATGAAGTTCTAGTGTCTGCATAGCGATGTTGGAAGTCTCGCCTGTCATTTGAGGCATGGATATCGGTAGAGGCGGAGGAGGCGACGGAGTTGACATCGTCGTTGCTGGAGCCAACAGAATCAGGTGTTCGTGCATTAGCCTATTGGTCTGCTGGAAATTGTATGAAGCTTCTTGAACCGGACGATATAGAGAAGGGCGATCTCCTATATCCGGTGCCTTGGCCAGAGTCGGTGGATCCGGGAGTAATGCTATACCGGCGTTCAATAGAATGCCGAGGTCATCGGATTGCTTCCAGTGAGCTGAAGATTGCGCTTTTCCTGTCGAGGTCGCATCTGAACCCTGTTCCCAGATTGAATTCACAAGCTCCATCCTTACGTAGCAGGCAGCTGATTCCTGACTACCGATTCGAGGGTGTAGCTACAGCGGCTGGGAGGCAAGAAAATGGAATGCCAGCTCGAAGAAACAGTTAGAGTATTGATGAATCAGATATCACATATAATACAAGGGCTCTTCCATGGGAGAATGAGCGATGAGTATGCCTAAGGGGTTTTGCGCAATTGCGACGAAGCGCATGAGGCTGAAGTGCGCCACGCTGCAGCCGGGGCAGCCTGGCAAATCGACGACTTACGCCCGCCATACTCAACAGGATAATCAATCCCTTCGCGTGTACGTTGTCGGCGGTAGGTCTTCATTAGGCTCAAATGCTCCTGCTTTCTGCAGCTCAATAGATCTTCGATTCTCTGGGTGAGAAAGGACGTTAACATTGTATGGCGTCACCACGCATCGCAATCCAGGTTGTGAGGCACTGAAAGTGCGAAAAGTATGTTCAATAAGGTAAAAGTATCAACAAAAAACCTCGACACCACACGCACCTTTCCAACACGAACATCAACATCAACACCACCAACACCACGCTTCAACGCTTCAACGCTCACGTCCCGCGTGGACCCTCCAATATGCAGCACTTCATCGACCCACACAATCGCTCTAAAGGTTGTACTTCGACTTAAGGTTCCTCCACCAATCCCTCGCCATCCACGCATCAAACTGGGTGGTCTCAGCCGCACTACTCGCCATCATAATAAAATTGGTAACACCGCTAGAAGTCCAGTCATAGAGGTCATCCAGCGCAAACGTATGTCTAACCTCATGCAGATAAATATGGATATTCTTCGCATCAACATTCTGCATAAAGTACTCCTGCACAACACGCTGGTTTCAGTCACCTTCCGCACCACCACCAAAGCCGGGGTCAGCCAGAGCGAGTTATCATAGTGGCGGCAGCACCGGCCTTGCAACCAGCATAATATCCGTCCTGGTGGAAGACCCTCCTGCAAGATTCAGCGCACTGTGGGATCCCGTCGCCGTCGATGTCGGCGTAGACCTGGATCTTACTGACGTCGCCCTGGAGGATGTTCTTGTTTTCGACGGCCCAGCCGACGACACTAACATCGACAGTCTGGTACGGGAAGCCTTCGAAGCCAGCCAAGACCGAGATCCACTTGTTGTACTGCTTCTTGAGCGCGGCCTCGATCTTGGTGCGTTGAGCGGCGGTGACAGTCGCGTCGCTTCCCAGCGCACGTAGTAGTTGATCTTGCCATTGCCTGTCACGACTTGGTCGTAGCCGTAGTTCTTGAAGCCGAGCGCGTTGGAGTAAGTTTCGAGTTCGTGCTTCCAGACCTGCTAGAGTCCGGTCTTGAGGGTAGAGATAGCGAGTGTGGACTTCACCTTCACAATTGTTGATGATGCTGTTCATGGTGATACGGTCCTTGAAGAGAATGACAGGTGCAGGCACCAGAGTTATAGAGAACGAATAGAAAGATCCAACGGAAGAACCAAATGAAAGACGAAAGGTGAAGTAGCATTCTCGATATTGCGGTGTCTCTTACCACTTTATACAGACTTTGATCGGCAAGCGCTGTTTTACTCTCAGAAAACCGACGTTACCGTCCTTTTCCCGTCGCACCATCCCACCAATACCATACGCTATGTTGACGAAGAAGAGATCTCAGGCTCCGATGTCGGTAGGTATCACTATGACCGCTGTCACAAGGCAGACTCAGGCCTCGGTGATTGGCTAGAAGCCGTTCGACACTCGAGAGACTCACGATGGCGCAACTATCTCCGGGATTACGTAAGTTGGGTAGAGCCTTCGGTCGAGTCTTGCGAAACCTGGAAGTGTACATGCGCTGGATCCGCAGACTCGAAGTTCACATCAAAGACGAGTTTGCCGAGAACTGGATGCCTATGTCTGGGTATGGGTGGTCGAGGAAGGCCTATGACTGGTATGGGGCGGATGAGGTACGCGGGTGGCGCAGAGAATTTGGGATACCTGAAAAGGTAGAGGTGTACCTTTTGTTGCGCAGGAAGAGGCACCTCTGCCGAGCCGCGAAGGGTCGACGACGACGACGAAGACGAAGAAGAAGAAGAAGAAGAAGAAGAAGAAGAAGAAGAAGAAGAAGAAGAAGAAGAAGAAGAAGAAGAAGAAGAAGAAGAAG